TTAGATGATCGCACGGGTTTTCCAGTCTTACTGCTTTGAAATGGAATTAAAATGAAAATGTGTTGAAGGTCAAAAACTCATGAAAATGCAATTTTCAACGAACTTATAACTATTTTGGTCAGATTTCCAGCAAAAACCGTCAAATTTAGCAGGTGGTAGACACAGCCAGATAGTAAGCCAATGCACTTTGTCTGATGCTTTTTGAAGACTTGTATAGCACAAAATGTGTGCTTTGAGTTGGTGACAGCCAGAGAAATCGCGCCTCTTGACCGTTTCCCCTTTTAGCACAGTTATCTTTTATGTGCTTACGGTAGGAATGCTGTATTAACATTGCTGCCCAATAACCAGTTCCACGCTGGCCTGGTTATTGGGCATGAACTTGAGATAAGACTGTACCACTAGCGATGTTCATATCCCTAGATAATTTTTGTAGGTTTCCGAGTGAGTTTCAAAATGAAACTTCGTATAGTATATAGTATATAGTATATATAGTATATAGTATTAGTATATATGCTTTGACAGGCTCCATTGATGTTCCGGCGTTGTGAGGATGACTTGTGCATGCTGATGAAGTTCATCTCCAACAGTCCTGTCGTGTTCTTGGCTGCTAATACATTCCAACAACTGCCGCAGCCGACTGTAGTGTCAGTTGCACAGAATCTTGTGTTTGCATTGAATCGCTGGGATAACTCGTACACATGTGAGTTCGAATTTTTTTCTTTTCTAAAATCAAATCTGATCAGTTATTTACAGATGGGGCCAGCTCACGAAGCGCACTGAACTTGGGAAATGAGAAAGCAGGAGAATCCGATAACGCATCCGTAAGTTATTAGAATATACATCGCAGTTCTGGAAAGTAGGGTTGCGGTTGTCCGTTAATCCTACCGATACTTGGGTGGTTTTCAGGAAAATCTCAAATTTGGTGCTTGTTGTTTCAATTTTAAGGTTTGTAAGTGAGCTGATGACGATATTTAGACTGTCTGATAAGAGTTTCCCTTTACCTTCCAGGGTTGGCGAAAATCTTTGTAAGAAACGGGTTTCAATAAATGGATTGGGAGGGGGAGAGGGAGAAGTTCTGAGAATTTTTATACAAGAAGAAATATTCCAAATTCCCAA